CACACATTCACACAGCCACGTGTACACACATTCAAATTAATGTGATTTAATGCCTTGTCGCCTTTCTTTCATGCAGTTTCATTATTCTGCTATTGTGTGGCATGTAGGTGTTTAAAATGCCTGCCTGTTTGGAGAATTGGGGAGTGAAGAGTACTCCACAGACAATTGCACTTGAATTTTGAATGTAGCTTGTTTGTTTGTTGTTGTTGTTTGTTTATTTGGTTTTGTTTTTCCTGGGGCTTTTTAAGATAAGAGTTAGGTTATTTACCATAATGTAGTACAACAGAGGGACCAATGATTTGAATGAATTGCTTGTATCTGCTAGTTTTGAGGAGTGTCATTGAATATATAGAGTGAAAATGAACACTTATAACCTCAGTCACATGTACAGTATAAGTATGTACATAAGCATATAGATGTATTATAGCACAGTAAAATTATATCATTCAATCATGTGTTAAACCTGATTACAAACTGGGCATGATGGTACAAAATCTTACATTTTCACATTTGCATTTGTGTGAATGTATGTGTTTGCATGTATGCATGTGGCTGTTTGCATAGGCCACTGTGCCTACAGTACATATTTTATCAGTGAAAGGCATGGACCAAGTGAAAGAAAGCAGACAGAGGATGTGTGTAAGTGGGATGTAAGTGAGCAGCAGTCACGTGTGTGAAGTGAGTGGAACACATATGCACACATGGTTATGTGTTTAAATGTCTCTATGTCCACTGACTGCTGTAGGCAGACTGTGTGCAGTGATGTGAGCACGTGGCATGTATGTGCACACACATACAGTACATGACAGGAGGTGGCTGTGTGTCCAGGGACCCGGAGTGAGGGAGTGCCTTTCGAGGTGTAAGCTGCTGAGTGTGCTCACTCTTTCACTAGTTTATGCCTCATAAGCAGAAGTACTGATTGGATTATGACTTGGTCTGGGAACACGTGTGTGTGTGTGTGTGTGTGTGTGTGTGTTGTGTTTTGTACTTTTTATTTAATGAGGGACAAAAAAAAAAAAAACTATTTATTTATATATTTATTTAAATAAATAAATAGAGTGAGGACATTTTGGCCGGTCCTGATTTTCTGAAACAACTTTCTGAGGGTTAAGACTTGGTTTGATGGTTCGGGTTTGAATTAGGTTTAGGTTAGAGGTAGGGTTAGGCATTTAGTTCTAATGGTTAAGTATTAGGGTAAGGGGATGGGGAATGCATTATGTCAATGAGTGTCCTCACAAAGATAGAAGTACAGGGAGAATTAATGTGGAGCATACACTGAAAAAAAAGATTTGCTTGATTGTAATGTGTACATCGGTCCCACACAATGATAATGTGTAAAAACCAACATAATTTTCTTTAGGGGTTAACTTGTTTGAATTATGTTAACAGAGGAAATATGAATGAATTGCGTTGCATATACTAGCATAATTTGTGTAAATCCTTTTTTTTAGTGAGGTCCAAATTAATTATGTATGTCAGTTTAAAGGTGTGTTAGGTGTTAGCATTTTTTGCACTTAAAAAAATAGAGTGCACAGTCGTGTGAAACCTTTATGTGTGTGTATACTTAATATACTTCGTATGAGCAGTGCTGTGCACTCTCAGTTCCAAACAAGCATGTCTGATTTTAGGTTGGACGTCCTTTGGCAATCACGCTCCAGTTCCTCCAATTCTCCAAACCACAGTAGATCCCAGCTCAGATAAAGCCCCTCTGCATGTTTTTGTCCACGCAGACCACCTTGTCTTTGTCAGAAATGACCATGTGTTGAAATATGCATGTTTTTTTTCTTTTCTCTTTACTTTGGCCTGTCTGGAGGAAACCTTTTATGACGAAGGTCGGAGGCTGCCATTTTTGACCACAGTTCCGGACCCTAGGTTCAGCTCCAGTGTTTCACTTTCAGCTGATACAGGCATGACATATAGAGGCATATGGCAGTGAAAATGAGCTGGGAAAAATCTTTCCTAAATGAAAACAAAGAAAGGATATTATTTGTCTTCTGGTTTGTTTGTTTGCCAGTGAGTGTTTGTCCATGTGTCTCAATATCTGACATTCCTTTCCTCCCTTTTTATTTTGTTGTAATCGTTCAGCATTCTAAAACCATTTACTTTTCCATTTGCTTCCCTTTTTCCTACCCTGGCTTTTTCTTTTTCATAGATTAGACATGAACAAACATCCTCTGGTGTCCTGTAGCCTGGAAATCTGATTTTGTTACTTCCATCCTTTATCTTGTTTCTTGACCCTGCAATGTCATGTCTGCTGGGTAAATTGAGAAAAAGGGACTGGCTATCATGAATCAAAGATGTCTCTGAAAACACCTTTTAACTTCAATATTTATTTTTTTGCCATAGTTATCCGAGTATTGCTTCTTTTTGGTGACAGTGAGTGTGCATAAACGTGAATGCCAGGATGTTGGTTCACATGGAATGGCCAGTGTAGAAAAAAATACCTACACACACTGAAACCCACACACATACGCTCAACCCATCTGTGATACAGTACAAATTCTCACACAAACACACATCCACAGACCTCCATTCATGCCCACATCCACCCACTCCATTTCCTTATCGTCAGACTGAAATCCAACTGACACAGATGAGCTGTAACCATCTTTATTAGGTGACAACCACTCCCTCTCACAGTCCTCATCCACCCCTGGTATTCGATCCACAGTGATGGTTGACACACCACTTCCTCCATCTCCCTTTCTATCAATCCCTTCTTTTATGTAGACACAGATGTCCAAGATCTTACACACTGTGAGTGAGCGCAGATGGCTCCTATAGCAGCCCGTCAGTCAGAGCTTTGTGGGGAGAGCAGGGAGACTACAATCCACTGGACTGCTCGCTCCTATGTGTATATAGAGTAGGTAGTATGTATGTGTGTGATTATGCTAGTGTCTTTATTGTGTGCCTGCATGTGACTCTGCTCTGTGTGATGAAACTGATGATGATGAATAGGCTGAGGCTGATGTATCAGAGCATACCTGTGGTGCAAGTATAGAGCATCCAGTGGACTGGTCAGAAACAGATGGTAAATAGATTCATTCAGTGCTGCTCATTTAAAACATTTATGTCTGTTTTGCCCAAGATGGAGTGTCCCAGTATCTTTAAATGTATTTGCATTGAATAAGCATCAATATTGGATGATGTAAATGTAAAAAAATTTGTTTGCATTCGTCTCAAAGAGCTTCTGCAATCAAGATGCCCTGTAGTGTGAAATTAGTTACTCAGTTACCTTTTTCTACCTTAATTGCTTTTCCACCCACATATTTGCCCACATGCACACATGCAGACACACACATCAGTCAGATATAGTGTGAGACGCTAGCGGTGAACACAGCATGTCCCAATCAGGGACACAGTTCAGACTGTTCGGCCATGTGATTGGTTGAATAATTCATATGAAGTCAGGGCCAGGGGAGACACTGTGTGTAAGTAAGTATGCGTGGGTGTGCACGGCATGTACCTATAAATGGGTTATTATGTAAATTAACATTCAAGAGTTTGTGTCTGCACAATTTCATTCAGGTGAACAAAGTGCAGAAGCATATGCTGACAATTTGTGGCCTAGCTAAAAGAAAACCACCACAAGAATTTAAGTATAACTAATGTCCAGCCAGACCACTGTCGGTTAACATTTAATCACCAAATATGAGCTCCATTAACGATGAGGAGTCAGCTGTACCCAGTAGTTGTATTATATTAATGAAGAGTACACTCCTTTCATAAGAGCGCATTAACCCTGAGTTACTGTATATTTCAGTAAAACACTGTGACAGAAAAAGACAAAATACTTACAGTATACTCACATAACATTTTGCATGCTTTTATAGTTGTGCATAAGCAGATTTAAGCAGTCATAGTCATATAGTGTAGCCAGTGCAGCTTCTATCTGCAGTCGGTATTAAAACTAAAGCTCAAGCTATAACTATATAGTAGATTCTCTGGTTCTAGTTTTTAAAAAAATGAGAGATTGCTGCTTTGTTTTTCTGCTTTGTATTACTGGAAAATAAAAATAAGTCATAGGTTAAACAATAATCAAATCTTTTGTTGTAGCCCTAATTAATCAGAAACACAATGTACATGAAGGCAGTATACAGTGACTTTTCTATCCCTTCACATCTTTTAATTACTAGATATTTCTATTGTGAAGAGCACACACTGACCAAAATACCTATAAACTATAACATTCTTTAATTATAACTAAGAATAAAACAATCTTCAGCTAAATGAATAGCAGTTCCCACAATAAAAATGTGCAGTATGTCAATCATACTAGGAGGCAGCTGTGGTTTAGGAGGTAGAGTGGGTTTTCTCCCAGCCAGAGGTTTAGGGGTTCGATTCCCGGCTTCTCTAGCCCACGTGTCGAAGTGTGCTTGAGCAAGATGCTGAACCCACAATTGCTCCCAGTGATATCACTAAGTGTGTGTTTGTGTGTGCGTGCAAATGGGAAATAGTGTAAAGCACTTTGAGTGCGCTTCATTGAGTAAAAAGGTGCTATTTATATACAGTATATAAGATAAGATAAACCTTTATTGTCATTGTAACACATACAACGAAATGTCCGTTACAATCAACATTAGCTGATTTTTGCACAGCAACATTTAAGAAGTATAATAACAGAAGTAACATTTGATGCATAATTAAACATGAATAACTGTGCTTTCCTAAAATATTTTAAGAGTTAAATCTGTTGCTAATGTCTTTTTTACACCAGACTTTTTTAATAAGGCCTTTTTTTTTTGTCTTTTGGTGGCTGTAGTCAAATCGCCAGTGTCACAAGCCCCAGGGGGTTACATGGTGCACCTCGCTAAGCACTCAGCTGCAGGGTTCCCCTTTTTACACTGGTCTTTTGCGATTAGTCCGCGCTGTTAGTTTACTACACTTTTTCGAATGTGGGGTTTATTTCTTCGCTTCCAGTCTGTTCATTCAGTCATCTTTTATTGTTTGTCAGCCATTCCCACACATTCACACCACTCTTTCTTCTCTTTTTCTTCCAGAGATGCTAGAGACCAGTAACCTTATCACTTTCAATGGATTGGCAAACAGCTCGAGCTATGACACATTCCTATTAGATGAGGAACGAGGGAGACTACTGGTTGGAGCTGAGGACCACATCTTTTCATTTGACCTCGTCAACATCAACAGAGAGCACAAACAAGTAAGATTCAAATGTAATTAACTTTATTTTGGCTGTAGTTTAGATGTTTTTGACTTGATTTGACTTTGACTCTATTTTTTATGTTTCAGTGAGAGTTCTGTTGGCTCAGGTAGCTCCTCTCCTCTCCTCTCCCCTCCTCTCTTCTCCTCTCCCTGCTGCTTTCTCTGGAGTCCATTACTTCTCTCTTTCTTCACTCCTTCCATCCCTCCCACTGTCTGTCTCAGTCCAGACAGAGCCTCCCATAATTCCATTACTCCACCTGGACTGGGTTAAGTCTTTTATATCTGATTCAGGCTGCTATCACAGACACACAAGACTTGCCTGTGGGCTGCAGAAGGCTGAGCAGAGGAATCAAAGTGCTGAAAAATACATAGTGCAGAGACGGAAAGCGTGTTTCTAAATTGTTTTTGCCCTTGGCTCAGATGTGTAATTTTTCTTTTCCTTTTTGCTCTTTTGTTCTAGTTTTTGCACCACTATAAGATAAAGGCCAGAAAGCCATGATGAAGCAAATCTAATGTAATTACTCTGAAATGTGCAATGTGGATTCTCAAAAGAGGAAAACTCAGCTGATCTAAAGGGGAGATAAAGTCTAGGAATTGAATGAAGAATGTGCGCTCCACATGTGGTGTTGTATGGACATAACGATGCATGTACATGCATGTGCATACATTTCCATTGCCTTTCCACATCTGTGTGGCTCCCAGCAAAGAATTGAGCTCAGCTGCACCCAGGTTTTGAATATATAATCATTCCCTTACTCATTATAGCTCACACATGCACACTCATATACTTCATGTGTGTTTATAATTCATGTGACACCACAAACCACATATGGACTGGCCTAAAGGACATTACAAAACCTTTATTTGACAATGGGCCCTGTCTCTTCTAACAAAGTAACAAAAGCCTGCTCTCGATTCATACTGAAGTGAAAAGTACAGCCACGTTCCCAGGAAAGTAGTTTTAAATCCCATAATTTGAACCACAACCCATATTTAGACAGTATGGGTTATATATTTTTATCCTGATGTTCAATCTCTACTTGTTTCTCTTAACTTTGATTTACCTGTCACCTAAACTATGTTTCATCACACTTTGGTGTGATCTATCATTATATGTGTACGCAACAGTCTTGATATGAAAATTGATATAAAGGGAACCAAAGAAGTGAGTAAACCAGGAGTTGGCAATGTAAAACATGACACATTAAAGTCATTCTCCTGGAAGTATACAAATCATGCTTTCCTGATTCACTGACTCACTGCCTCCCTGTAGCAACATGTTGCTCTCCACCTCCAGCACAGTGTGACATTGTCTTTTTTTCTACAGATTGCATGGCCTGCCACCCCATCTAAAAGGGATGAATGTAAGTGGGCAGGGAAAGACCTTGGGGTAAGTCTACATTCATGATGGTGTCATGATTTGTTTGCTTTTGTTGTTACCCAAATTATATGTTTGTCCTTTGTGTTTCAATGCAATTCTTCAAATTTCTCTAGGATTTGGTCACCTGACTGCATTACATATGCTAACAATAACACAATATAGTAGTCCATGTGCAGATCCAGCACTTGTAAAAGTACAAGAGCACTGTAGAGAGGTAGGAAATTAGCTGAGATAAAAGTGAGAGTAGCCATGCTTCATCTCACCTCTGGAACACTGTACTCTCTACAGACCATCCCCCACAGATACAGTACACACTGCTGAACACACAGAAACACACTACACAACAGATGTTTGGTCACAGGAAGGTGTACACAGTGTCTCAGTGGCATAGGGACAATGACGCATTACCTCAAAGGTTATTTGCTTCTGTGATGTGCAGTTTAACATTGGGAGTATGTTTGTGTCCCGGAGTGTGCACATGTGTGCATTTTTTATGTGGGAGTGTATTGTTTGAGATCTCATTATCTGGCATGGTGTGTTAGCTCACATGTGCGATTCTGCGCAGATTTGCTGACCAGATACTAGAGTATATGCCATTAGCTTTGTTTGCGTGCACAGTGGTGTTAGTGTGTGTTATCTTTTTGTTGCTGTTTGGATATGCCCTCTATGTGTTATCTGATCTTAATTTCATGGGTGGGTGAATCTTGAATGCAGCAGCTCCAGGGTTTTAGGATTACCCAGCATTACATAGTCCCTTTAAACTGCAGACGTTCTACTGGGGTCTAACTCACCACTGGCTTTTTAGGTTTTACACACAATCAGCACAAAACCTTCACTTCCTCAGACAACGGAAAAAGAGTGTGTTCTGGCAGCATAAAATCGCATGATAAGGTATTTGCGTGCTGTGAAAGTGTTTACCCTTGAAAATGAGGCAGCGAGAGCAGAGACAGAGAAGCCTTGATTAGGACATTACTAAAACATTCAGAGGTCCCAAAAGGATGCATTTCTAAAAACCACAATTTACAGCTGCATAACAAATGTAACAGCTGCCCCACCCCCCGCCCCCTGCAAAACGCCTGATGGCTGTATCATGCTCCTTGGCAGGATGAGCGTGTAACATGGCCCATGATATTGCATTTAATTCAGCGAACAAAGGGTTCAGATGTTCAGATACTGGAATGTGCATTCATAAGTTTGTTGAACTGCCTACACTGTCATTTAGAATCATCTGTCCAGCTGGTAAAGACAACAAATGAAAAATAAAGGCTCAAAGTTTTACTTGACTTCCACCACATTTTACATATTTAATAATACTTCAGCATAATCTCAAAATTCTTTCAACTCCTCTCAGTATATACAAAATCACATTCAAATCTGTCCACCCATTTCTACTATGGAAAGTCGCCATCACTACCCAGTCCAAAGCAAGTCATTAATTTTATCCAATAATGACTCTGCAGATGTTGCGGCTTTTACATAATGACATTGTGATCAGAGAAGCCATTTTCATCTGAGGGAAAGGCACAGCCGCACGTTTGAGTGACTTGTGTAACTAAAGTCTGTCAGGGTTTAGATGCAACCTACCTACCACATAGATTATGAGTCTTTCTTAAAGACAACCATGTAAAATCCTAAACAGAGCCAACACTGGAGACAGATTATAGAAGCTGGTAAAATGCATATAATAAGGGCATGGGAAAGACGTGGGGGGTCATATGCTCCTGCTGTTAAACAGTAGGAAACAGAGGGTAAAGTCATTAAGTTACACAGTCACACAGACACCGAGGCATACAAGGTTGAGGTCAGCCACAAGAAGTCATGCAAGTTTAGTCTTCCTCTGTGAACTCAGCACTGCTAGCATGCTAAATATCATGTATATTACAACAAAACTGGGCAGAGATTTGGGCATAAAGAGAAAATCAATTTCATCTTATGGAAAAAGTTTAACATGGGAAATATGTTCATTCACTGAGAGTTAGACAATGAAAGTGATTTTAATCATTCGTCTATAGAGTAAATAAGAGTCTACCTCCAGCAGCAAGGTAGCTTAGCTTAGCACAGAGGCTGTAAATGGGGGAAACGATTAACCTGGCTCTCTCAAAAGGGAACAGAATCTTCTGCCAGCATTTCAACAGCCTACTACTGAAACATGTTGTATCTTATTTACTTTACTTTATTGTACATTGCATGTTTTAACAGATTACTGTGGAGGATACCTGTAAATCATCAGAGCTTAAACAGGAGTTTCAAACTTTTTGAATAATAGCAGGAAATTCAGTTTTTTGGTGTAGGTTTGCAGTTTGTGATCCCAGAGCTGTTGTTGCACTGGAAAATGTCAACACGCCAACCTGAAGCCTGATGCCTCATATGTGAGACATCACCAAATCATTAAACTGTAATGTATGAAGTTTACAAGCCTGAAGATATGCATGTGTTCCAGGGAGGAAGAAAGATGGATAATCTGGCTGTCTGCGTGTGTTGTGATGTGTGTGCTGCATTTCCAAATCCCCAAGCAAATGTGCACTTATTTGTTAAGTGGATATTCAGCATGTATTTATACTTAGGCAAACCCCAGCCTAATTTCTTAAACACATATGCCCAAATTGACTCCTCGGGGCTGCTAATAACCCTCCTACATGAACCAGTCCCGTTGATTAGCACTCTAATAAACAGTCTCACACCACTGGGACTATCAACATGTGCTGGAGAGCCAACCCAAACACCCTCGTTAAATTCAAACATATGGATCATTACAGATCTGAGGTAGATTTGCCTGATTTGACTTACAGGTGGGATTTCCTTGACGGAGACAGTTTCATACAGCTTTTTTCCAAACAAACTGGAAATTCCCTGTTTTAAACAGTTTTCCAACAGAGCTTTGGCAGTTCTCTGCTTTTCTCTGCTTTCGATTAGTCTCTAATTTCAGTTTAATCACATCAATTTTTTTCTCTATTAAAACTGAAAATGTTATTTTCATAAAGGATAAATCTTCATTTAAATTTTACAATACTGAGGAGGGGATTGGCAGTTTGGAGATTATGGCTAATATTTATAAGATCTTTCATAAAACTCCCATGTATCATGTGCCTCGCATGGCTGTAGAATATACTACGTGTAGGATTACAACATAAACAGGGACCAGTATCACATTCACAAAATATTTTTAGATCTTTTTGTCAGCTCTAAGACTCACTGTATAAAATGATTTATAAGCTGAGCTTCTGATGATCATTGTCTCATTTGTTTTTCAGAAAGAGTGCTCTAACTTCATCCGGGTCCTTCAGCCTTACAACCAGACCCACCTGTACATCTGTGGCACAGGAGCGTTCCACCCCATCTGTGCTTATCTGGAAATGGGCAAGAGGGCAGAGGTAATACAACTAGTGCCCTGATGTTAGTTCACCAAAGGTTGTACGGTTTAATCGGTTATTTATAGGCAGAAGGTCATTTGGATTTCAGTTGAGCATTAATTAAAAATGTGATACCAGTAAACTAATGAGAAAGAAATATTGTTCCCCTTAAAAGAGCTTGTGCACTGCCACTTTATTGGTTCTGTTTTGCTTTGTCCAAAGAAAAGGGTTCACTACATAGTCGAAAATTGAATAACCTCTTCTCTACATTTACGTTTAATCAGTCATTTTGATAATGGTCTACCAACATAGGTTCTGCATTTTGACAATGGGGAGGGGAGGGAGTGTTTGCACCATGCAGGTTTTTAGTACAGAACACCCTGCATGTGTTCCCTTGAGTTTAAAGTGTTGATGTCAGGAAATGGGTTAAAGATATGTGAAAGAGTAGGATCTCTCTCTTGTAACTTTGAGGTTGAGCTGTGCTTTTGCTGCGTGACCTTAATTTCGTGCCATTATTTTTGTCAGTCACACAGTTATAGACACTGTTGTTTTTGTGTAATCAAAACAGTTGAACTCAGAAAAAAAGACTTCATGCTCATATCAAGCTGAAGTTGTGGTTCATCCCATTCTAAAAGTAGCATGCTATAATCAGAATACATTGTAATTTGAAACACAGGCTATAAGTGTACCTATAAGCAGGCTTAATGTGGCTTTCACTGGCCTCTTTTTGAACTTTGACCCATTCCACCACAGGACAACATCTTTCGACTGGCTTCACATTTTGAGAACGGCCGCGGGAAAAGTCCCTATGACCCCAAAATGCTCTCTGCCTCACTTTTGCTCGGTGAGTTGGATCTCTGCTTCAATTAGTTCCAGGAAATACACATTCACAGAACTGGTCATTTGTTTCTAACTATATTTTATCCCTGGCAGATGGAGAGCTGTACTCTGGCACATCTGCCGATTTCATGGGAAGGGACTTTGCTATTTTCCGTACCTTGGGAGACCATCATCCAATCAGAACAGAGCAACATGATTCAAGATGGCTGAATGGTAAAAATAAAATTAAGTGGTTTTTATTAGCATGAGAAAAAACATTAGTGTGGAAGGAACACATTTTTCTGTATATTCTATTTTTATACAATCTTTTCTTCATAAAAATGTATTTGTATGTTTATTTTGTATTGTTAAATACTGCTACTATGTTTTATAACTATTTACACATATATATTGTTTCTTTCTGTGTTTTGTACCTTTAACCAGAGGCCATTTGAATCTGCTAGTTAGCAATTGAAGCTAATAGTGACTGCAAAAACTAGATACCATACATTGTCAGACCTGACAAACTCCAGTAAACGTTACCTTTAAAGTAAAACTCTACCTGTGCAGCCTATACAAAACTCAACTATTCAGTACAAGGTGGAGGTAAACGCTATTCAGCAGACTTTGAAGTATTTGATTCTCCCGCAAGCCTCAAGTCGCCAATCATTTCCATTCATGTGCAGTCATCAGATATCAGAGCCCATTCACAGAGTCACTGGATTTACACCTGCTAGTAAGATTAGCATGGCAGTCATGGTAGTAACTGTTCAGTCTGTCTGGCTATCTTACACCACCATGGAGGACTTATGGAGCCACAAAGGGTCAGTTTGAACCTCTGTCTCAAGCTGTGCCATCCCTTCTTCCTCTCTTTCCCACAGAACTAATCTGGTTTCAGCTGTTTCCCTGTAGTGGAGTCAAATTCCTCTGTTTCTTTCAAGCAAACCCCTCCCTCAGCACCTTCAATAATCACAAACACTGGTCTCTGCAGTGCTGATTACTGTGACATATTAATAATGAGCAGTTGAGATGTGAAAAGGCATTGTTACCATGTTAATCCCCATCGATCTTTCACCTTGTTCAAACAAATGCGCCAGGGATTTATTCATTCAGCAAAATCCACCTCCCACAAAGGGAGGATTGTAATTGCATGGATTACTGAGATGGGGGTATTCTATTGAGCTTTTACCAGCAAGGTTACATGCTACTCAGATGTATCAAGAGAGAAACTTGGGAATGAAGTTTTAATAGCATCTGATTCTAAAAGGATTAAGGGTCAAACTGTGGCTTGGCTTTGTTAGTCGTGGTTCCTGCATTTTATTTACACACCTCTTCACCTTTTAATGCACTCTCACTCAAATGGAGGTTGGATTAAACCTCCTCTGAATGCATTGGCCCTTTGTTGGGAATTAAACATAATGAAATGTATGACCTCAGTGGCTGGCAACATTGCATTGCATTTATGAATGTCTAGATTTTATTGCACATATTAACAACAGCGGTTTGAAGTGTGTGTGGGGTCCACGTGGTTCATAACAGTGGTCTCACATCCACACGGCATATATAAATCTGTTTCCCACTTTGGCCATACTCGCCTTTTTTACAGCTACTCCTAAATGGCCACAGAGGTGTAACATGGCACTGCATGTTTCTCTCCAGCTAACCCCCAAGATTTTTACACACAAGCTCATTTTACGCGTGACGACGCCTCAGTGACTGCGGTCACTTTTCCTCAGTCCTTATGCCGCTTCATGACAACAGATAACCCAGCCCTAAGTCCCCGGCTTGCTTGTTTAGCTTTGATTTCCTCCCTTTAGATAAATCCGTTCAAGTGTTACCCAGGACAATCAGAGCCATGTGTGTTTGCAAGGATGTGGTCTAGAAATGGGGGTTATGTGGGATTTGGACTTGGCGCACTTCACTTGGGGTAAAGTCAGATACTGTATCACCAGGGTGTAAAATAAATGGCTGTTATTACTGAGCCGTGACTGCAGAATATCATGGAGGATTGGTTTCTGAGGTGCAAAAGAAGAATGACAGGCCTATCATTGGGACAGAGGTTGAATCATAAAATTATATTTGTGCAGGGCTGTGTGTGAGTCACTTTGTGTACTATATGTACAACTGTAAGCTTTATTTATCTTGCATTGTACTCCCTGGATGCAATTTTTTTTTTCTGCAGACCCGAGGTTCATTGGCGTACACTTGATCCCTGAGAGCGACAACCCTGAAGACGACAAGATCTTCCTGTTTTTTAAAGAAAACGCCATGGATGGAGAGCACAGCGGCAAGGCTACCATCGCCAGGATAGGACAACTGTGTAAGGTAACAACACACACAACAGAGTTTTTATTACACTTTACACTTTGGCAGTTGAAAGACTTATTTATTTTTGTCTTACAAAAATAGGTTCCTATTATATGTGAGAACTCACAGAAATGTGTTGATTTTACAGAATGATATGGGAGGTCACAGGAGTCTGGTTAACAAGTGGACCACCTTCCTCAAGGCACGGCTGATTTGTTCAGTCCCCGGGGTCAATGGCATTGATACACACTTTGATGAGCTACGTAAGTGTTGCTTCTTCATTTGTATATAAAGAAAAGATAATCTCACAGACTCAGATCATCTTTCTTCCCTGTTAGAAAGTCTGACCTTCACCCATTCTTGATTTGTGTTTTCAGAGGACATGTTTCTCATGAGCTCCAAGGATCCAAAGAATCCAGTTATCTATGCTGTATTCACCACATCCAGGTATAATTCAGTCCAGATCTTTTCATGATGACCTCCAAAATGTGCACGCAGGGCTCATATTTTCAATCTGTTTGACAGTAGTTGGTACGTAGTATATTTGTTTTGTTTTTTTGTTGTTGCTAGGTGATCAGAATATAGGGCAACAAGTTAATTCTTCTTTATTTGAAAACACACACCCTTCATATTTTCTGTCAAGACTTCCTTTTCGCAACCTTTATCTGTAACAATTGTAAATGAGGCAGCAGGATTCAAGCAACCAGCGTGTCCCTGTCAAATTCCCAGACAGTGCTCCCATTCTGTAATCCACTTAGAGGTATCTTATGGCTGCCTTTCCCTTTGTATGGCACCCCTCCCCACAAATCATACTGGAGATTGCTTTTAGCCAGTTCCCCATTCCACCTCCACCTGTCCCCTCTTTTCATTGAAACTATGGCAGAGGCTTGTAGGAAAATCAAATTATGGAGCAGGAAGGAACGAGAGAACCTTGATATTTTTCGGCAGGAGTGCACAGCTCTTCACTGGCTGCTGCCCCAGAGTTGAATGGGGTTTTCAGAGGCTGGGTGTGCCTCTGCTGAAGCACGCAAAGAGGTGAAGGTAAAGGACAAGGCAGATAAGTGAGTTAAAATGCCACAGATGGTGGCACTTATCATGATGATGATGAATTTGCATTTGGAAAGGGGGTTTTAAGTGTCAAGTAGTGTCTCTGTACTGCTTTGAAAAGAGGACAAACACTTCACCATCAATCATCGCTGATGATAAGAACTGAATAGGCTGAATAGAACAGCAGTGCAAGCTAATGCATATTGACAGGCACCTTGCATCACCAGGCCCGTATGGCTTTTCTTCACTTCCTGGAATGTATTCAAACATAGAGGTCAGTGCTTGGTGGTGGGCATACACATAAACACACACATTTTAAAAGTCAGTTATGGGACACTGAGGAATAAGAGTGTTTTAATTGGTTTTCTAAGTGGCCGGTTTTCTGAGGTAGAGCAGAGATTCAGAGGGACTGACTTTTAATATCACTGCTTAATGAGGCACAAAGAAGCTGCAACAGATCAGTGTTTGATTCTGCCCCTGTTTGCATATATGTGTGTGCATGTGCACTTGGCTGAATTGGCTAAATTTGTGTGCCTCTCTCGCAAACTGTGTGTATCTCCACCAACACATGTTCACCTTCTTCTTAAGCATGGATATTGGAGTGCCTTTTTCCTGCCCCTGGAGTTAATTGAATTTCTCTGTAATTAACATTTTCAAATGCTAATCCATTCATCTTCCATGCTTTAGTGAGTTCTATCAGCTGTGGGTATGCCAGCCACATCCCTAATTAGTCTGATTCAACTTCCCATTGCAGTCAGCAAGACAAAGGAGGTCCTAAATCTTACTGAAGCATTTGTTTCCTGCAGATACAAGAGATTTGCTGTCCAAATGAAAATGTGCCGCCTATAAAAGTGACACTTAGAAAGTTGATAAACCTAAGATTGTTTTTGAACATCTAATCTACAAAACACATCTCCACGTGGATATGTATATATCTTAGATTGTATATATCTTAGATTAATCAGGTAGAATTCCAAAATTTTCCACTCAGTGAATTACAGCTCAAATGACTGTTTTTTGGATGACCCAGGACAGAACATAAATGGAAATAAAACCCACATCTTTTTTTTGCCTGATTGATTGAATTTGCCTGCTTTAGACCTCATCTGGCCACCTGGCTCGAGCAAGTGCTCACAAAGTATTGGAAGAGATTTCAAATATGCTCTGAACCTGGCCTTTTGTTTTGTTGGTACTGTGCCCAAATTCCTGTCTGTTCTCAAGAGGCTGAAAGCAATCAGAGAGAAGTTCCAGTCTGTCATTCCCATACTTAGGCAACTCCAACCTTGCTTCCCTCTGTCATAATGCGATGAAGGGTCATTTTGTCGTCTTTCTTCAGTATTTCCAATCTCCTCATCTCGGTTTTGTCACCAATCATTTATGAATTCCCTGTTTGTCATATCTACTTCCTTATTTCACCAGCCTCTAACTCCCTCTTCCTTCTTCTTAAGCTCCTTTCTTTTTTTGACCCTTGTACGTTTCTCTCTCACTTTCCTCCCGCAGCAACATCTTTAAAGGCTCTGCAGTGTGCATGTACAGCATGGCAGACATCAGAAGGGTGTTCCTGGGTCCCTACTCCCACAGAGATGGACCCAACTACCAGTGGGTACCTTTCCAAGGACGAGTGCCCTACCCTCGCCCTGGCACTGTGAGTCTTCACATAGAAAATTAGCAATAAATGCAGTAGATTTACACTGAGCAAAGATTTTCATTGCACGAAATACGCACAACACAGCTACACTTTCTTGGATTTGTGTTTCTTATGACAGGTTAATGCAGATTTCTTTAAACGAGCTGTCTGTATTTCATATCTCATTCTCAGTGTCCCAGTAAGACCTTTGGAGGTTTCGACTCCACCAAGGACCTCCCTGATGATGTCATCACCTTTGCCAGGGGCCACCCGGCCATGTACAACCCAGTGCACCCGATTGGGGCACGTCCCATCATGGTGCGGACAGATGTGGACTACCAGTTCTCCCAGCTGGTAGTGGACAGAGTGGAGGCTGAGGACGGACAGTATGATGTCATGTTCATTGGCACAGGTACAAAATTTCACAAAGTTTGTCTTTTGCTTTGCTATTTAATATTTATTTTTCATGCCAGGCTAATCATCTAAAAGCTTCTTTTCTTTCTTGGGAATATTCTTAGGAGAAGTTTAAAAAATTGCTGAGATCAGTCACAGTTGCATGGTATTTTACATGGAAAATTGGAATTTTTACTCAAAAAATAGTCCTTTTAATCTTGGATTGTACATTCCTCTGCCCTTAAATTTCTTTTGTAAGAAGATTTTTTTGTAATCAGAACATCTTCCAATGAGTACAGTGCAGAAAGAACATGAACTCTATGGACTAACCAGAAATCAAATCCGGCTTTATTATCTTAAAAGAAAATTGGTATACAAATGGGCTTTCTAAGCCCTTTGTATTTATGATTTTTTAAAAATAATCATAGATAAATTACAATTTTCTTTCAAATAAACTCTGAAAATAATTTTCCTTTTTTTTTAGATAATGATATTACATGTTCAAACAAAATTTAGAAAAGATTTTTATTAATTTATATAATGAACCAGCAGGCAGAGGTGGATCTAGAATATTTTGGATGGGGTGGCCAGGCTGGGGCTCAGACTCGAAGAGGGGTGGCACATATGCATATATATAATACATATATAAAGTAAATTAAACCCCTAGCTCTATGAAATAATAAATAATAAAATTTTAAGAAGCTTCTTTTTTAATCCTGGCTAGGGACATTTCTGCTGCACAAGTAGACCACAACTACACAATCAGAGACCTGAATGCAAATATCATGCTGCATGCATGATTTAAAATAAAACAAATTTGAACAATTTAAATTATGAAACGCCAAAAAAATATTGTTGTATTTAAGGCAACAATTTGTCTTTGTTTTTTCATTTTTCATTCATTAAATCTGACAAGCATCACATTTTGTACAGTCAGATTCCGGGGGTGGTCTGTGCCACCCCTGGCCACCCCCTGGCTTTACCCATGCCAGCGGTTGGCACAGCCACAAATCTATAGTGAACTGCACCACTAATATGTGATCAAGACAGACTTGTGTATACACATACTGTATCTGTCTGTCTGTTGTTTTTGAGATATGGGAACAGTGCTGAAGGTGGTCACAATCCCCAGAGAGAGCTGGCACGACCTGGAAGAAGTGGTGCTAGAAGAGATGACTGTCTTTAGGGTATGCCATTTTGTCTCAACAAGAATTTATGAAGCTGACTTCATTAAAGCATTAAAGCATTAAGCATTTAAAATACACAAATGGCATAGGTGTCTTGTTAAACAGGCTGTGTTTGTTTTGTGCAGGAGCCCACTCGCATTACTGCTATGGAGCTGTCCACCAAGCAGGTAACAAATTGGTTTCACACATAATAATTTATCCAAAATCTGTTGACAAGGATACAAGGCTAAGGAGAGCAAAAAACACGAGAATGTCATTTCACTTACTGAGAACCAAACACACAGCCACCTTCTGCTTTCCAACGGAGCCAAACAGGAACATTTCCATTTTGATGTCCTTGCTGTTTCTTTGGATCCCACAGCAACAGCTGTACCTTGGCTCAGCCCTGGGTGTATCGCAGATGTCTTTACACCGTTGTGAGGTCTATGGGAAAGCTTGCGCTGAGTGTTGCCTGGCTAGAGACCCTTACTGCGCCTGGGACGGCACTGAATGCTCGAGATACTTTCCTACTGCCAAGAGGTAGAAGCATACACACATTAAACACTCATCTTTAACCTTTATTTATCATGGATGAATTTGCTGAGCCTGCAAGCTCCTTCACACAACATCCTGCCTTTGTATTAATGCTGTCATATGCAGTCACACATGGGAGTTATCAGTACACCTGCAGTTTGCTCTGCAATCGGCTTTAAATTGTTTGCTCACAGCCATCTCAATATTCAACCGTTTTTCTAACTTCATACTTTCCCTGGCCTATTAGCAAGTGCAGTGAATCAGCAAATGTCTGCAGAACATGCCAAAACATCTAAACATGGAACTAATCTGGAGTATTACGCAGACACAAAATACAGTCATTATACACACATACACGCACAGGCTAAGTAAGCATTTCAAAAGGTACAATTCAGAAACTTGGGCTGTAAGTCCTGCCAGTGACAGTTGCTCTGAGTTGTGATCCCATCACCTTACAGCCAAGATATACACACATTCACACACAAGCAGACAAGCACACACACACTAAATTATAGCCACCAGAAGTTGTCTAACCACTTCACCCTGCAGCCAGGAGGTACGAACATACATACCCTCAAGTTACCCTCTGCTGTATCCAGTGGGATTAGACTGACCACTGCAGCCCTTACACATGTACACTGCGGACATATACAGTTCATTCAACTTCTCACACATAGCAGAAGCAGGCCAGAGAGTATACTCCAGTTTGGCAGGGTTGCAGAGGAGGTGGCACACCCGTGGTTAAGGCCAGGACCAACCCCGCTCAGCTCTGCTCGACACTGCAAATATTTTCCTCCCAGAGTGAGAAGCAGACGCCCGTCCCTGTGCGTGGTCAGACACCAAAAAGACAGGAAGTGTACAGATGATGGACAGAGACAGAGAGATGGAGAGATGTGTGGAATAGAAAAATAAAGAAAAGACTGGCCATATTTTGCGTGCAGAATTCACACATGCTGACAGTTTTAAAACATGACAACCAGCACCAATGGAGATACATTCGCAGCCAGGCTATGAAAACACCTCTCACCTTTGCAGTAAAAAGTCTGGATGATTTACTGGACTTTCATATTAAAAATACACAGAGTGGGGCTGCTTTTACAAGGCAGTTTCAGGGTGAAACAGCACTGTGTGTTTTATAATAACACCTCATCAGAAGGCAATGAAGCAATCAGTTTTATTGCTCAGCAGGTTTATGTTCGTTCTACTCTGCCAGGATTTAGTAGTTTTTTAATTTCATATGATTAACAGTGGTGTGGAGGTTGAATAAATACCCACTGTGTATTTGTTAAATGTGAGTGAAGCTGAATATGGAATAGCATTGTCTAACATTACCCTCTAGTGGTCGTAATTAAACAGTGCAGTGAACATGTGGTAAGTGCAATGTGTTGCTTTAAAAGCCAGTACATTCAAATATACTGTATATATTGTCTTCCCAGGCGAACCAGGCGACAGGACATCAGAAATGGAGACCCACTCTCTCAGTGCTCAGACCTGCAGCATCATGGTATCTTAATGACTTTACACAAACACACACATAGCTACAGTTTTTCCTTTTTGTCATACACGTCTCAGTCCCCTCTGTGTGTGTGTGTTTCGGGATAACTAGATGACATGGACGGCTTAGGAGGTAGCATAGCTGACAAGAGCGTGTTTGGTGTGGAGAACAGCACTATGTTTCTGGAGTGCAGCCCCAAGTCTCAGAGAGCACTCATCTACTGGCAGCTACAGAAGCCCAACGATGATCGCAAGCAAGAGGTGTGTGCTTCTCATGTTATTCATGACTTACCTCTTAATAGCAACATGCTGGAGAAGTAGAAGAGTGCTGCTAGATGCCTGTAAAACCCACCCATGCAAATATCGCCTTCAATATCTCTTTCACACTAATTAAATTGCTGCAGACACAATCAGTATTATAGTATGAATCTGGCCCCACAGTGCTACTAATGGTTAAAAAGCTTTACAGGGTTGCCCATTTGGTTGACCTTTCTATTCCACTTTTTCTCATTTTTCACTTATTGTTTATTTCTTTATCATTCTCTCTGTATCTTTCAGATCAAATTAGATGACAGAATGCTTCGTACAGATCAGGGACTGCTCATACGCAGTCTAACACAGTCTGATACTGGTGTGTACCACTGCCAAGCTGTTGAACATGGCTTTATCCAGCCCCTGCTGCGCCTCAACCTCCAGGTCATCCCCACTCAGAGACTGGGTGACATCCTACCTGGACTTCCCAGTGCTGGAGGCGGTGTAGGTCCCTCTGCCAAACACAGGCTGTGGTACCGAGATTTCCTATCTCTTTTGGACCACCCTGACCTCAACAGCGTGGAGGAGTTTTGCGATAAGGTTTGGAAGAAAGAGCGCAAACAGAAGAAGGTGAAGACGTCCAACAGCAATGGTCAGGGTAAACCTGACAGAAGCAGTGGTCCTTTGGCTTCTAATGCTCAGAAGCAGCAAGGTAGTCCAGCACAGAGCAGGCCAAGGCTTCAGGTCGGAGCTCCAACACTGGAAGGGCAGGTACGAAGCCAGAATGCCCAGAAAGTTCAGTCGAATCTGGGTATGTTGATTGGCCAGGCACCTAAGAACAATCAGAAGATGCAAAACAGCCAGAAGAGGCAGGGCAGTCTGGCTGGTTCTCAGGTTGTGGGAGGACCTCGGGTGAGCAGCCAGCACGTGGCCAAGTGGAGACAGATGCAGGACAATAAGAAGGGACGCAATAGGAGGACCCATGAGCTTCAAAGACCTCCACGCAGTGTTTGAGAGGAAGCACAGAGATGCACTCATGCAACCGGATCCACATACACATGCACAAACCCACGCATCCACATATACACACAAACACATTCTGTAGATTGTGTATCCAATGTATGTTTAATGACCTCTCTATAACAGCAGGCAGCACAAGAAAAGAAAAACACCAAACACACTTTTTTAGGTAGAAATACAGGAACTGCACAATTGTAACAACAATAAAGACACTGTTGTTCAATGACACAAATGCACACAACCTGTGACAAGGAAAAAGATGAGTGGAGGACTGAGAAACTGGAATATGGATTGTAAATGCGTGCGGATACGACTGGTTGTCTGGGACACTGCCTGTCAGACACTTCCACCTCCTGTACATAAGCTACTAAAATAGGACTGAGATAGAAGCATTTAGTGAAGGGTTTAGACTTGTAAGCAAAGAGGACAGTTGCTGAGACAATAAATACATGGACATTTGTGGAAGCAGACATTATGCATTCACTGCAACCTGCTTCTGTCATCGACCTGAGCATGTGAACTGCAAGATAGTGTACATGGAAAACTCTTATTTTGAAGAATTGTTTGAGGAGAAAAGAACCTTCTATCTAGTCTTTTAAATCAAGACAGACAACAGAAAAAGGAGGAACGAGAAGGGTTGCAATTCACCTTGGGATATGCACCAGTGGTCCTCATGCTATTTAAAAACAAATAGAAGCATTATTACTTGCAAAAACTGCAAAGTCAGGTGCAGAGAAAGTGCTCTGGCATTGTCCTCTCCACCTGAGGCTGGGAAGGCATTGTGCATGTTGTCATTGTCAGTGTTTTAATAAGCTAGTTATTTTTTTTACACCCTACCTAAAAATGTTACATGTTTCTTTTATATTTTCTTTCCTTTCCAAACCAGTGCTTCTAATTTGGAGGCAAAAAATTACAAGCAACATACAGTAGTAGTCTTGTGCATTATCACTTCTGCTCCCAAGGATTGTGTGTAAGTTATTATGTTGTTGCTTTTCCTGGGACTGATAGACTCTGGGCGCGAATTGCAATTGTAGGCTACACTAAAACTGCAGTTTGAAAAAGACTGCCACTTGTTTGGTGTACATATATACAACAACCTTAACTCTCTGTGTATATACAGTACATATACAGTACAATACAAAGGCACCACCTGACTATTATTTATTGCTCATTGTTTTGTGAAAGGGTTGAATTTATTTTTGATATTATGGTATTTTTGGCTCATCAGTATATTGGAAAACAATGGCAACAGCAACAAAGAAACTTTTGATGGACCAAGTGACTGAAATTGTGTCAGGGAGTACCGTTTTCAGGATATAGGGTTTGAAAAATTAAGTACAGGGGTTTGTGTCATTAACCAGATTTTTGGTTAATGAGATCCCACCAATGATAAGCACAATTTTGTCTCTTCTGCCTTTCATAACAAATGCTTTCCTTATGTTTTCATTTTTCCCAAATCCATCCCTCGTCTTTTATCCACCGAGTAGCCATTATGTGTAAGATAATTCCCCAACTGAAAAACATTAGCTGTGAATCTCTGTAAAAAATAGTGGAGAAAAATGTTAAATCTAGTCTGAGGAGAAGACACGTTATACTGCATGTGAATGCTACCTACAGTAAGTGCATCTTTTTTATCGTCTCTTTATGTGTTTTGTGTGAGAGATAACGTTCCCTTAAAGCAAGGTGTGAATTACTTTCGTCCTTTTGCCAAAACAGTGATGTTAACAACTCATGATATGAAGTCCAAAGCTATTCAAGAGCCAAGCTCTTTAATTGAAGAAAAATACCCCATGTCCCCCATCTCCCCTGTCCCCTGAATACATGACAAGAGTAATGTGTAAATGCAATAAATTAGAGCAAATAGTATCCTGTACCAAAACTCAGAAGCTGGGTATGTCCCTACATCAGGTCTCTCATTCAGAGTTAGTAAAGTGAGAAAGCTGAAAGTTACCACTGCTGTAACACAGGTCTTTCTGGCATGCATACAGTTGTCTTAATAAACATCTCCGTTACAAAAATGTTTTCTCCTCATTTCAGTCAGCGCATGTCGGCGTATGCTACAGTCAGTCTCATGCTGCTTACTTAATGTGGCACTAAGTGCATATGTTTGCTAACTGAGTTGCAGAACAGAGCCACACCAGGTGAACTGACAATACATGCTGTCAACAGTTTTCAAAAGGATTATTTCTTGAAATTAAACCAGATCCGATGGTAATGTATCACAATAATGTGATGTTTGAGAGCAATCACAACTGATAAGCCTTTGTCACTACAGTGACAGCTCACCTACTGCATTCCAGGGTCCTGGTATTTTACATGCTAAGTCACTATCACGGGCTAACAGACATCTCTGAAAACCTGGGAAAATTAAACTAAAAAAGTCTGCATGACTAGATACAACTAGAGGTGAGATTTTTATTTTTCCTTCTGAATTTGAGTGAGCTTGTCATAGCAGGAAAAGGACAGGTGTTACTAACAGCATTAACAAATGGCTTTGTTCTAGTCCCAGTGTCCTGCTGTGATGGTACGCCGTATGCACAACAACATGTGAAGCAGCTAAATGGAGTTCAGGCATCCCTAGTTTTATTATTTACACCTGTGCTTTTTCTACTGTGACATGTCAACATATCTTGAGTTTTAAAAAAGCCTAAAAACTCAAACAAAACATGGGAATGTAGAATACAGAGAATAGGATGGTTCTCATGAAAATCCACCAGAGGTCACTGTCGCGTAACTGCATTTGCAGCCTGCTTGTCATAGCCAATCCAAGTCTTGAGGGTGGGGCTAAGTGGGTGCTGTAACACCTTAACATGTAGAAACTGCAGAAATCCCTTACTTTACCAGTTAGGCACAGTCATTCCTGAAAGCACCAGTTCCTTATTTAGAAACTGCATATATGCATGTAGGCACTGCACATCAGGTGAAGTGATTAGAATGGTGCAATCATGTTCCCTGGCCTCAAGTTTCATGTTATGATTTTGCTGGTCCTGTTACCATGGTGACTGTCCTTGAATGTCCTGTATGTCTGTGTGTATACTGTATGTGTGTGACTGTCTTGGAAACACACATTTGTAGCTGTAGAACAGGGATGTCTTGACCATGATGTTGGGGAGTTTTATTACTGTGTCCTTGGCTTTAGGGGAGCTCCTCCACTGTCTGAAGTGCTGTCCTCGTCATGTCTGCTCTCATATCGCCTCCTCAGAGCTTCATTTCTGTTCACAACATGTTTTGTCTCGCAGCCTCAACGACAACTGTTTCCTCACATTAGGCTGCCACAGTATATACTGTATGCAACATTCATTTAGTTTCTATTGATTGTAGAAAACAATATTTTTTTACACTTAATTCACAATTGCACAATATTTTATTAGATTCCTTAAAATATTAGGATTTATCTCCTAAAATATAAATATTCCTAATAATATTATGATTACTTATCTTTTCTGTAAAATGATTATACAAGTTTTTCCAGTGGGTCTAATATTCCACTGTAAAAAATTTCCAATTGCCAACACACTATGGAACTATTGACCAAGGGAGGAAGTACATCACCAACCAGTGGTTATTACAGTGACAAGGATGCGCTATTTATAGTACAATGTACATCTGTCTATGATATAAAACAAAATTAAGAGTTTCAATTTTAAATTTCTTAGTTGTAAATCTACAAAAAAATTGCCAAAAATCAAAAGAAACAATTTTCACTGTGGTCCAGCTGTGGAACCCTGTTACAGTGGTGAGAAAAGGGAGAAATTCATATTTACTATATTTTAATGTTTTCTTGGGCTATACACGTTATTTTAATACATGATTTGCATGTGTGTGTGTGTGTGTGTGTGTGTGTGTGTAAGCATATCCAAACCTCCTCACAACTCTTGAAAGAAGGCTCTCTTCAGAGGCTCTGACTCATTCCTTCTTACACAGAAGTAAACCCAAGGGATTGTGGGAAATCAAGTCTGTGGGCAAGGAGAGAGGAGATGTAGGTCAGCAGCAGGGCAATACAGCAACTGGCTGCTGAAATCCCTGCTAGCTGTGTACACTGCTGTGAAAAGCAATGACACATACCGTATGACATGTCCAGCTGTAGGCTTTATCAGTGTGCTACACTGTACAGAAGAAACTGTGACATGCATTAATGCACTGATCTTCAAGTGATCTTATAATTAGGAACTCTGCCAGATGAGTGCCAGCCTCCCCAGAAACATGGCAACTGATACAGAGCAAGATCTCCTTGATGATAGATGACAGTTTCCATCAGTAATGAAGCCCACTGTGTTCTCCGGGTGCATCTTTCCTTTCTTACCTCCTGCACGTAATGAACTCAAGAAAGTATACGTAAGCATAAATATACACAGTGTAGTGTTAACCACAGCTAAGATATTCAGTGTCATAAGGCTGTGAATCAACCTGTAATGTGCTGTAGATAGGTACAGCATTATTATACGACCATTTATTCTTGGTGCATGAAGGTTTCACTACATGTGCATGTACAGTGATTTAGTATTGCACCTGCTTAAAGATGGAAAATTTGTAAAAGCTGCATTTAAACAGATTTTTTTTTAATTGATGCAACACAGCATGAACTATCTTGACTTTTAATCCCTAGTATAGGTCAAGCTCCAAACACTGAATTTGATCCTACATAATGTAACATAATAGGCTCAGTGTGTGGGACCGTTGACAAAGCTATGCTTGCCCTGCCCTTTCAAACACTGCTGGGGTGCTCTTGAGCAAGGCCCTAAATATGAACAAGGTAATCCTGAAAAGGCATTTCTGTTAAAATTGCATTCAAAGTGTTATTTGATGCACACCTGCTGGACAGTAGGATAATAAGGATAATCACCTTTATTTGGCCAAGTGTGTTACACATAAGAAATTTGTTCCCGGTACAGAACCGAGGCAGCCATCTGTGGCATCATCTTCACACCGATGGCTCTAACCATCGGGGGCTTCTTGGGGGTTCAGTGTCTTGCCCAAGGACACTTCAACATGTGGACTGCAGGCACCTTGATTCAAACCTCTGACTGAGACACGATCACTCTACCCACTGAACCACAGTCACCCCCAATGTAGTTGTGAGAATGAAAGGGCCAAATTCCTGCAGAGTTGTAATGTTTCACTCAGTCTGATCTGCCTCCCCTTCATCAACATTATCTTAAATTATTCATTTGTCACTATTTTCTTACATTTTATGGACCAAACAATTAACTAATTAGGAAAATAACCAGCATATTAAGTCATTGTAAGATTCAATCTTTGTATCCACGTGAATTATTTCTATACAGTTTTTTAGTATAAAATATTAACAAACCTACAATTTGACTTCCAAAATTAGGATAGCAATTGCCGTTCATTTCATTTCAACATATTTTTTTGACTAAAGTAAAAGCTACTGTATGTTTATTTTCCAGTTCTAATCACATAACCATGTGCTTTCTCTGTCTCCATATACTGTATATGCTTTGGGGTTTCAGTAAATATCCAGTGCCCTCTGAGACTGTGTTTCACTGTCTGTAGTTGAGAAGCCATGCTTTATGGCTCTAACCCCACCTCCTCAGCACAGGACTACAGAGTTGACAGTTGTAAAATCCTACGCAGCTGCCCAGCCAGACGCATGTCTAGGGACAGTTGTAAACTGACTCCCACGCACCTGTTTGACCTCACACCCTCTCCATTCACTGACTGCTTGGGATTGATGAGGTGATCAATAACCAGTCTGTCACTGTAGAGAAAACTGCAATGTGTACAACTGGAGGACTGACTGGAGGTTATTGCATGTCATACCTCTCTTTCTCTAGCCTTTTCCTGTCACTTTCTGTTCTGACTGTTTAAATAAAAGAGAATAATACCAAAAAATGATCTTTAAAAAAAAAAAAGATGCTTTGGGAATATTTTATGTAACCTCCTTATTAGCTTGTATGTCTGCATTTGTGTGTATGTGCACATTTTAATTTGACTTCCAGACTCATATGTGCTTAGTCTAGTAAAACAAGAGGGACTTACCCCCGTGTTAAAAGTGACATCATCACCTATGACGCTCTACCTTGACAACAGTTGTGTTGTCAGTGTTTCATGAACTGTGGCGGTGTGTATGACTTGAACTCTGACATTGTCTCTCATCACCTTCTTTTTTAAACACGTTTCAGCCAAACAGTAACTAAAACTGGATCCGATTCCTTCTCTTTCAGGCCTTAGAGTTGGCACCTGATTTATGACTCTCCTCATCCACCATTGCCACTCCACTTTCCTTTTTCATTTCTCTTAGTGAACTGAAAGCTTCTGACTGTAACATCTTAACCAACACTGCTCCAAGGTCTAATGGGCTGATTCATCAGTAGTGGTAGAAAGCTGGGAATAATGCTTTAGAAAAAAAAATTAAAAGGTCATTTAAAATGAAGTACAGCCTGAGAAAATCGGTTAGCTTAGCTCAGGGTAAACTCTGTCCTAAATCTGTCTGAAGGTAACCAAATCCACTTACCAGCACCTCTAAAGCTCACTAATTAAAATGCTACGTTTGCTAACTCTGGACACAGCCGCAGTAGCTATTTCTCACTGTTTCCAGTTTTTATACTAAGCTAACTGTTGGCAAACATAACAGTGGTACTGATCTACTCATGTACCTCTTGGCAAGAAAGTAAATGTATTTTGAGCTACTACCAATCCATAAATTTACACTCAAGTTAATGGCCTTCATTGAGGCTTTCTGCCATTTTAAACCATTTCTGGCAGCGGTTTGTGCAGAATATGCAGCATAAAACCTTGTTATTTAGCAGGAGCAGCCTCCACTGAACAGACAATAAAAATGACTGGTTTACTCACAGAACAAAAAAGAGCACCAAAAACTTACTTTTTTTATTAGTTCATCAATTGGTTTTCAACCTTTTGACCTCACTGTTACCCTAGCACCTTTGGTTGGCTGCTGTCACATCTATCAACCACTGGAATACTGTATATTAGCTTCCACAGTGAGCAGGAAATCCTATTAACAGTCTCATTACCTGTTAAACTCTCCTTCCCATGCCCTTCACTCACACACCATAACAACCTCCTTGGTGATATTTAATACATTGCATCACACAAACTCTCGAACAGACATAAATTAAAGCTTTTTGGCAGTTTAGTTCACATATACATCATTTCGACTCAGCTTACACCAGTGCATTTATGCAGCTGTGTATTTGTTTGGAACAATGGGACTTATATAACTCTCACATTGTGTTCAGCCTCTAAATCAGATGCATCTGTGCATCTTCAGGGAGCAAGGAACATTATTCACACAGTATTTAGCTGCACATGCTGTGAGAAAGAAATATGGACTACTGCTCAAATACTGCAGAGCAATCATGTTGCACACATGTCATCCACACCCCTTGTTTGTGCTTACAGGACTCAACAGATGGTGGTGTCATGGCTTCTCAGCGCAGCCTTGGAGGCATCTCTGGCTACTGTAAAGGAAAGAACAGTATTTTGAGGGTAGAATGTAATTTGGCAAAGGATGAATAATTGATTTGAGAGTCCTTTTCTGCTTCTTTGTTTTGCTGTTTCAGTTGATTAGCAGTGGGTTAACTTGATCCTTAACAGTGGCAGAACTACATGCACTGTGTTCAAGAAAACAGCTTATGGTACAGAGCAGTATGTCTCAGATGAAAAGAGGATTAGAGGGACCTCTTATGTCTGTGCATGAGTGTGTCTTTGTCTGTGCTAGTGCCTGCATTTGCATGACTACGTATGTGTGTTGGCAGCGGGTGCGCCCAAGCACACCTACCTGTAGTGCATGTGTGGATACCAGCTAGTGAGACAGAGTAAGGAAAGGAGGGGAACCTCTGTGGCTTTAAAGGTACTTTTACAGTCTCTCACTGGTCTGGAGGTCTGGTCTTATAGGGTTAAGGAAGATTCAGTCCAGATACACCAGAAATCAAACGTCACTTTTGCAAGTACACCATCAGTGCGGAGTCGTCTCATCTCTTCCCACAATGACTTCAAGGACACCACCTGATACATATACAGTTCACTGAAGTCAAGGTATGTAACTCTTGTTTGTTCTTTCTTTCTTGAAAAAGGAGCTGATTATTGAGTTAAAGCTGTCTAGGGAAGGTTCTTGTTGTTTGTCTAACCATCCACAGTACAGGGGGAAAAGGTCAGTTGCTGCTAGTCTTAAAGTGCTTTTGGTGAAATATCTTGTGTAAACCTCCTGTATTTAGAAGCTGTTGTTAGTACTTTAAACTTGAATTTTGCAGTGCCACCCATCTCTAGAGCAAAAGGAACTGCCTTTGTTAGCATCTCATACCCCATCTGAGCATACAAATTTAATGAACACAGAGTGAGTATTATCTGGTTACCAGACTCAAGTTACATCAGTCCAAAGTCACATATCTCTCATATGCTGTAAATATCCACGACAAGAGTTGATCAAAATATAATTTCAGTTGTGGAAAGTAACTAAGAAATAGCTATTTAAGTTTATTTTTTGATCTAGTATATGTAGCTTTTGACAGCAAAGAGTGATTTCCCTTCTAAACCTTTCAGATGTTTTACTTGAATATCAAGGCCCAAAGAGAGAAAACTGTCAGGAACTGTAGCAGAACTCAGGTTCTCACATTTCCCTCCTCACGAATCATCTCCCAACCCTTTGGATTTCACAGACCTCAGTCACAGGGGACATTTTTCTGCTGGTACTTTTGATACCTTCATTGCACTTTGCTGATACTTCTGCACTTCTAATTAAGAACAGTGCAGGGCTTTCACTTGTAATGTAATATTTTTAGATCGTTGTGTTAGTACATTCGTGTAATTAAGTAGAACATCCGAATACTTCATCAGTGACAGGACACATGTGATTAAGTGATATATTGTTTGTTTTTTATAACAAAAATATACCTATAAACTCCTGATAGCACTGGGAGTCTACTGTTGGTGTATGGTATGCAGGTGTGTGTGTGTGTAGAAACTGCTGGTATTACACATGCTTCAGAGAGTGCTTGTTGCCAGGTCTGTATTTGATGTTGTGTATTTACACCTGTGTGGGTTGTGTGGGTTGTGTGCCTGTCTGCATGTCCGTCTGTCTGTCTGGGTGAATGCGTTTTGCTTTTCATGACTGGATTCTTTAGTTAGTGTGTTAAAGTGACTATGTGGGAAGGATACAGAGAGAGAGAGAGAGAGAGAGAGAGAGAGGATGCATGTAGACGTTGCTTCCTCACAGTGTACAGACAGTCATGCCATGCCTCAGTGATCAGTGGGAAGAAAGGAGCTGAGCAACACTCCCATCATTTATTGCTGAAGACAGAAATCAAACTCACCTCCGCCTACACATACAAAAAGGTGAGAAAGATAAGGGGACAAGCAAGGAAGGAGACTGGAAGGAATAAAAAATATTTTCATACATATAGTAGCAAAGCCCAAGGGGAAGAGGTAGGGATGAAGAAAATATGACTCTAAGTATGCATATAAAGAAGAAACTAAATGAGGAAGGTGGTGTGTTGGGTAGAAAAAAAGAGCATGAGCATAAACATCAAGGAAGAACACTGGAACCCTGCATCTGCATCACCCAACAAGGTCAACAGCATTTTCACCATGTGGCCATTTTACTGTACCCTGCTTTATTAAAGGAATAATGCTCCTTTTCACTTTCTTGTTGAGAATTAGCTGAGAAGACTGGCAGCACTCACCTTTCTCTGTTAACTGTATACAGCCAGGTGAAGGTTTGTTTAGCTTAGCTTGTCTTAGCATAAAGAAAAAAGAAAAAGCAACTGCAAATCAATGTATTTGAGAAAATGAAGAGTTAGATATAAAACAAGACACCCTCCAGCTGCCAGCTTATATAAAAGAAACATATTAGAGATGATTCATATAAGATATCTAAAGCCCTTCAATGCCCCTTATTTGTGTTTTTTGAATATTTTATGGAAGCAATTTCTCCTAAAATTAGACATATGGCATTTTTGGTTCAGGGTACTCAGGCTGTTTTTGTTGCTCTGTGAACTGAATCTTGTCCAGATGCTGAAAAGAATTGTTCTAATCCTGGGCTATTACAGTAGCTCTAAGAGTTTTTATATGTAGAGAGGTCGGGTGTGTTTTCATACTATATGAACTTCCACAATGAGTTCGCTGGAACCTCTGATACTTGACCTACAAACAGTATTTCCAACTGTCTCCTCTGGTCTTGGCACTTTAAAATCAGAACCAGAATAAAGGGGTAAAATCAAAGCATCAACGAAGCCACCTTTCCTCTATGTTTCGCTCAGGCTCGAACCCTTTACACCATTATATCAAACACATTTAGCTGAGTTAGGACCCTTTAAAAACACAATTTCCTCCGCTGATGTCTGCTGATCACCTGTCAGAGGCGGAACATGCGCGGTGTGCACGAGAGTAGAGGCTGCATATGAACATGCGTAAAGACAGCCAGTGTTACATCAAAAGGACGGAAGTGCACCAATGTTGGCTTCAGTATAAACATTTTAAAACGCTACATTGGGGTGTTGAATGGTGAGTGGCGGAGCAGAACCACAAATCGCGTCCACATTCTTTAACTGAAGCCTTTTAGACTTGACTCCTACTATTACACTTTACGCCTATGTCGCCTATTCTTTGAGAGGTTTCTTGTTCATATTGGAATTAAGATTTCCAGTTTCCTTTAACTGCAGGATCTATATTATGCAGTGGCCTATAGGTTGGCTACACCAATAAAAGCGCATTAGAAATTTATGGTGTAGCAGCAGCTGCAAAGATGCACGACACAGAAAAACAACGGGAAATGAGAAGGATGCAAAGGCAGGACACGGAGGCAAAGTAACCACAGAAAAGAAATCATCCGAGATGCTCCGAGACACCGAGGAACACCGTATTCGTTGCACACTTTGGAGATAAAAACGCGTAGAGAGCTCGGATCGCGCATTGATCCAAATACAGAGAACGGGAGGGGTCGATCATGGGGAACGAAGCGAGCCTAGAGGGAGGCGAAGGGCCACCGTCTGGTCTATCTGGGGGGCTGGCACCGGACGGGAAGGGCGGCTTTGTCCAGGTCTCCGATGGGACTCCGGTCAACCCGAGTGAACTCAGCGTGGAGAAGAGGACGCAGCTCGATGCGACGGTGTCAAAGGCACAAGGCAGGGAGCCCGAAGGCGCAGCAGCTTTACGAAGGCAGGGCTTCTTACCATCTTTTTTTATATGATTTATTTCAAATATACCCAAAAGACGATAGTACGTGAAAGAGGAGCGAGTGGTTGTGTTGCGTTTGTGTGCAGCATCATTTGGAAAGCGTCTAAGATGCTATGGGGATGCTGAGAGCCAGCTCACGCCCATTTAAAGCCTCCCAACCGCACCAAGAATTGAATCCGTTCTTGGAGCACACTGTAATAAATGCTCAGTAACATCACAGAAAGATTGCAGTTTTCTCACCATGATGTCTGTAATAGTAGGCTACTGGCTGCCGCTTTGAAGCTGTTTTCATATGGCTGCCATAGACTCGTTTTAGCGACTGAGCAAACGACCATTCTTTAAGAATTGATGTCTAAAAATGAGTTTGAATTGGTCAGACTTTTGCATCATTGTCCGCGGTTTGCGTCTCTGTGAGATCACAGAGTAAGAGACACACCTCCAGTATTTGTGCGAAATTTTCGAAATGCCTGCTGGGTAAGAAAATCTATCGTGTCCAGAATTTGTTTAAACACCAGGACGACGCCTTACCACCGGAAAAAAAACTAATTCCCAACTTTCATCAGCTGTGCCTTCGTTCTCTATTATTGCCAAATAGGATTTTAGTTAGTTATGTGGAGCATATGCTATGTTAAAATAGGCATCAAATAACATGACATAATGTGCGGTACTTGTAACTGGCCCCCCAACTGGAGAAGAATTGTTATTTAAAACATATCTGAACTTGAGATGGGGGAAGGGTGCATCAATATTAATATGACTATAAATAGAACAGAAGCGTTAATGTCATCACTCATACACGTCCCTCCTTCTGCATTCTTTCTTTTTCTTTTCTACTTTAATTTCAAAGTTGGATTTTACGTTCTCGTGTTGAGTCATCACTCTAGATGAGTCTGTCGCTGTCCGTGGTGCTGAAATCTATGCTGCAGTGGATTGGGAAGCAGCGGCCATTGCAATACCACTACTCCTAATGTTTGCTAGGGGGGACAGGCATGTTTGCTAGGCACTCCCATTGTAAAGCAATGCATTTACTCATTTCGCATTGCAAAAATAATAATAATAATAATGATAATCAAATGATGTATTCATTGCACTTAAACTTTACTGCCTGTGAAGGGCTTTTATCTCAGACACACTAAGAGAAAGATCATCAGCCTAAAAAGCAGTACCAATATATGTTGCATACATACATTACGATGCAATAACTAATCAGTTCATTGGTCCACTCTTGCATTTTCTCGATTGACTTTCATGGTTGTACCTTGCAGTGTGTGTCGGTTGTGTGTTGCCTCTCAGACTGATTTAACACAGATGGCTCAGCTTACCCCCAGTGAGCTGAGCATCACCTCTTTATCTCAGTGATCTACACTCCATGTCATTCAGTGGTATTCACTTTCCTGTCCAGGGCTGCTGGCATCACATTCTGTGTTTACTGATGTTTTGAAAGGGCCTGAAGGCTAGTGTTATGTTTATTATTAGCACAATAATGCTATCATGGAGGAAGACAAGTTAGCTTATATCCTGAAAGGTATTGTTTAAGATGAAAAATGGCAAATGGATTCAGAGCATTAAAAAAACAAAATCATGATATTTGTTCAAATTTTCCAGAATGTTGCAGTAGACTTTAGAACAGACAAACTATTTTGTTTCACCTTTAGTGTGCAGTCTATATGGCATTGCTTCAAGCATGCTTCAATGAAAGTGGTAAAAGAAAATCTAATAAACACAAACGACTACTGTTTGTTAATAACAACAGTGCTGACAACAACTATATGCTATTTTCTGTTTTCCAGGCCTTCAGAGTCTGATGCCCAGCACAGATCCCAGCAGGCAGGGGCCTCCAGAGGCCCCGCAGGTCTCAGTAAGAGCCGTACTGTAGATGCCTTCAACCAGGGTCCGCCTGGCAAACCAGCACCGGGTCGCAGCCCTTCATCCCTAAGCCTTTTTGAATCCAGATTCCGGCAGGAGCCAAAAGTTCCAGAGCCCAAGTCATCCGGCATGTTTGGCTCCAGCTTTCTCAGTGGGGCCAACCCCCTCAGTGCAATGTCATCTATGACTTCTTCTGTCTCCTCATCCATATCCTCCATGAGTGATGCTGTCAGCATCCCCAAGTTTGGACTGTTTGGGGATGACGAGGAAGGAGACACACCTGCACCTGAATCCAAGCTGGGAGGAAAGCCACCAGCCAAGAGCCCTGAAAAAGGGCCAGCTCCAAAGGGACCACAACAGGGAGGGCTCCAGAAACAGGGCCAGGGACCCCCTGGGCAGGGGCCAAAACCAGAGCAAGGGCCCTCAAGGCAGGGGCCCAGGCAAGGCCAAGGGCCCCCAGGGCAGGGACCAAAGTCAGGTCAGGGTTCTTCTATCCAAGGACCCTCTGGGCAGGCCTCCAGGCAAGGTCAGGGACCACTAGGCCAGAGACCCCCAGGGCAGCAGGCCTCCAAACTAGGTCAAGGACCAGGTGCCAAACAAGGAGGCCCTCCACCACAAAAAGGTGGCCTCCCACAACAAGGACCTGGTAAGCCTGGACCCAAGCAGCAAGGGCCACCTGGCCCCGGGGCTCATTCAGGGGAGCCAGCTAGAAGTGGAGGGCCTCCTGCTCAGCAGGGGGCTGGAAAGCCTGGAGGTGGCCTCTGTCCACTGTGTAAGACCACCCAGCTAAACACTGGGTCCGAGGACCCACCTAATTATAATAACTGCACAGACTGCAAGAACCAGGTCTGCAGCCTCTGTGGGTTTAGCCTCCCAGACTCAGCGGTGAGAAACTAATTGCTTTCTCATTTTTATATTAATTTATTTTATCAGTTTATAATGACTTGATAAAATGCCCCATAGTGAGTTACACTGATATAAATGCTGTCAGTTTTCCAGATGATGAATATGTGGTCAAACAAAATTCCAGTTTATGCCAGGTATACTGACATTTATCTAATCTTACACAAGACAATCCATATTACTGATGGCAGAGGCTGGGAAAGGTCACTCATTATTACATTTTCTGTTTATGAAATATCTAATTATCCAGTCACTTTGTTCCATCATCATTACACTGCAAACATATCACAGTAAAAATGTATTTACTGTTTAAACTAAAAACTCAGTAATGTAGTTTTTAGTTTAAACATCATAAAGCAACTGTGATACAAGCACAGAGGAAATTGTTAAAAAAAATTTACATTGAATTAGAATAAATGGAAAATATTGGAGATCAGTTTGTTTCATATGGTGAATAACACAATGTGCATACATATTAGAACAAATAATTTCTTAAGTTGCATATTTTTATTGTATAGTTCAGTCTAACGGTGGCCTGTTAGCTCAGCCAAGGCTATTTCATAAAAGTGTCAGATCTGAGGAAAAGAGGGACCATACGGACCCAGAGAATACTGAACAAGGTGACTCATGTCATGGCCACAAGAAGATAGTGTGCCAGCCAGTGAGGATGCCCAGTCACATATGGACCGTAAACACTGGTAGTCCACGATTACAGCACAGTAGAGTGACTGGTTCATTCAGCTTGAGCTTCTATTTGAGATTTGTTGCTCCACAGATCAAAGTGGGTGTAAGCTCTGCAGCAGACTGATGAATTCAGGAAGTAGACTTTCTCTGATTTACAATTCAAAGTAACATCTTTGCAAGTTTAATGCTCTAGTGAATGCTTTAGAGTGATTAAAATGACCTAATCTCTGTTTACATTATACAAAATAAGTACAGTTATGCACAAAACACACATTGTTTTGTTGTAGATAGGGATCAAACTGTCAGCATGTGCTCTTTTAAGTGCTGCAGCCTGTACATAGTGGAAACCAAGGAGATATCCTAACCCTAAACAAACAGCACTGTGGTGCTGCCAGGCTTTGTGGAGCAGGTGTTGAGATATACTGTATGGTCAAAATAAAGACAATGAAATGCTGAACAAACAGTAAAATTGATAAAGGGGTGAATAAAATGCATTAATACATGAACAGTATTTGCCTTTCTGCTGACAGTCCATTGAAAACGTTCATCAGTTTTACTGCCTAGTTGAAAAAAAACATGTAGAAATAATTACTTTTTATTATAATTCCATTAGAAACAAACATTTAATATGAAATATTTGCAAAAAATGTCAATATTGTCTGGATATAAATGTCCAGTGCTCTTTTTTTTTGACTAATCAGAATTTATGTACTGCAACTATTGCCAGATTTGAATTAATGAGGAAGCAATTTGACTGGGGATTTAACATAATTTGAAACACTAATGAATGGACTTGTCTTTGAATTTGTCTTTATTTAGGATTAAACCTAAATAAAATGGTTATTTTAGGGGTTTAATTGGTTGTGCTTGCCTGTGTGTATGTATACTGTAATTACATATGTGATTGATGTCTTTCCTCTCAACAGTGTGGAAATTTGTTCCAGTCAAATCACCCATCTTTTATTTTATGCACAGGGTAAAGAGTGGCTGTGTCTGAACTGCCAGATGCAGCGAGCAATGGGAGGTATGGATCCCCCTGGTGTGACAAAGCCCAAACAAGACTCGGCCCCACCCTCACCCCAGAAACAGGTTCCTGGCAAGCTGGTGATAAAACAGCAGAGTACCACAGAGCAAGGGTTAACCCCGCCAACCACACCTAGGCAGAAATCCCCAGGTCCTGCTTCTCCAGGACCACTTTCCCCAGGCTCCTCAATGGCAGGATCCCCCAAAATTGATCCCAAGACCAGTCGCCCTCTTCAGTCGAGTCCTCAGCAGTCTCCAGCTAAGGCCAAACAGGAATCCAGCTTCTTTGGGGGATTAGGAGGTATCACTTTGGGAGGCCTGACCGATGTAACTAAACCTCCTGCAGCTACTTCACAAGCTGCTGACTCTGTTAGAGGGAAACTGTTTGGGGGGTTTGGCAGTTTGATGGATTCATCAAAGTCAGCTGCACCAAAGCAGGAAGAGTCAGTAGCTGGAAAGTTGTTTGGAGGTTTTGGAGGTTTGACAGAATCAGCAAAACCTCCTGCTGCTGCTTCTCAGATGTTCAGCTTTGGTTCATCCCTATTGAGCTCAGCCACAAGTCTTGTTACTGGAGAGGACGAGAAGGCGCCAGACACCTTATCAGTTTTCCCTCCAGATTCTGGCACCGGCTTGCCACCGGACTCCACTTTCTCTGTACCTGGGTCTCGTCCTGATTCAGGCTCTGTTCCAGACACCCCAGCTGCTAAGTCTACAAAAACCCCCCAAACCAATTCTGTGGAGCAGGATGAGAAGGCCCCAGCAGCCAAACCTGCACCTGCTTCAACAACCAAGGAAACTTGCCCTCTTTGCAACATGGAGCTGAATGATGGATCGACAGACACGCCCAGCTACAGCCTCTGCACTGAATGCAAGAAGACAGTGTGCAGTCGGTGCGGATTCAACCCTACTCCCCATTTAGGAGAGGTAAGAAACCTTGCTATTGTTGCAGTTTTCTTAATCCCCACTGCTTCCTGTGCCCCTACTAGTAATTTATGCTTCCTGTCATATAAATAGAATGCAAACATCCTCTAGATGTTTCAGTAAAATAGGTCACTGTAGAGACACCATCAGGAGCAGCAGAGTTTTCATCTATACATTTTTCCTATAGGCTTGTTATTGGCAATAGGTACATTGGTTTAACCCCTAATCGACACTGTAATGACATATGCACGTCTGACCACTGAATGGATGTGGTCAATTATGCTGCATTTTAAATGCCAATCTCATTTTCAAGCTTTCTTTAGTACAGAGGGCAGCCAGAGATGTGAAGATAAATTAACTTGTTTAAATGGACATGTCATCATCAAAGAGCACTTCAACTTGACTCTGAAACAGAATACTGTGTGCATGTGTGTGTGTGCTTGTTCAGCTTTGTGTACCAGTGCACAACTTTCTTCCTATGGACAACATTTGTTTAATCTGAAATCAGAGGAATTTTTGTGCAGAAATATGCAAATATTGATGCTTGTATGTGTTTGTATATGTGAGATGCACCCGTTGATTGTCTTTGCTTTCCTACGGATGACTTGGAAACAGACACATTTGGCTTATTCTGTCTCTCTAGGTGTGAGAACTGGTTTACTGGTGTCACCATGGTGTATTGTCTCATATGGAAGCACTGTCATAAGACTGTGTGATGAATTTCACAGAACAGATGGTACTCTAAGGTGTAGGAACAGTATATTATGGCAGCAGAGGCCAAAAAGTTGAGTAGTTTCTCAGCATGCAGGCATAGCATATTTACATGTGCTGTACCCACTTATTATTCCATGTGAAATGTCTTGGGTATTATCTGCATAGTGCATCACTCAATAACAGTTTTATGGATTCAATTACAGTAGGATTTTTGATTATATCCTATTAACATGTGATTAGGTTTATCAACCAGCAGCTCTGTTCTGGATTAACATGTTCATTACTTTGTTAGCTGGTGGTTTAAGTGTGTCTTTACTATGCTGCTGTGTATTTCTGGCCCTACAAAGTGCCCTCTGGAAAGTGAAACTAAGCTGGGAATTGACCTCCAAACTCCACCACATTTGTGTACAGCAAATGTTAAATGCATAATGCCAAAATGTCAGACTGTTTCCTTGACAGTTTTTTGACATGCAGCCCTGTGAGAGACTGGCGCCCTGTCCAAGGTGCTAAAGTAGTTTATAGTTTGTCTTGTTAGTCTTCCATGATCTTTGCATAGTTGTGTGCATATCACAATATTATAACACTCGGTGTGACCCCTAAGAGTGGAAAATATTAATTTGTTGCTAATACAGAAATGAATGTTGGACATTATTAATTAAATTGTCCCCTTCCAAGCTGCTGCATTCTAAAACAAGAGTCATTTGTAGTAACAGCATTATTAGCTCTTTTCAGTTTTGGGATTATTGTCTTTTTCTGCTGCTCTTAATTTACAAGCTTTCTGGTGTAATGAGGAGCTGATCTACACAATCACTTAATTGAGTCTAAGCATGAGGAAAATGTAATTATGCAGGAGAGATGGGCATCCAAACCTGTAATTGGATATACAATAGATTAGTCCCTTCACCACCGCCTAAATAGTCAGTTTTGTTTTCCAGAATGATAGAGCTTGAAATTGGTATAAGAAGGATGAATCATTTGTGATTCATGCAGGATTAAACAAATTAATCATTCAGTGAAACTAATAAGATTTAATTTAATATGAGAACAACTTACATCTTAAAACAGCAGTACCTTTGGGAATATTCTGTTGAGGAAGCATGCACACACAGCACCTGGGTTGAGTCATCTACCCCCCACGTACTGTGCCTTGCTTCTGTATGACTGACTGTTGTAATGTCAGCTGTCAGCAAGGGTTCACTTGCTGACGCATGTGAGTGGGTCTGAGCGTGTGTGTGTAGATGTGGGTGTGTGTGTGTGTGTGTGGGGGGGGGGGGGGATGAACTAAAACAA